ACTAGGGAATAATATTGAAATATAAATTAGAGAGTACAAGCAGAATTATAGTTGCACAACTCTATTATTTATTTATGAAATAAACAGTAGTATCAATAAGTGAACTATTTTGCAAGCGTTTGTAAGATTTTAAAATTTCTCGTTATATTCAGAATTGTAATAATTTTGTTTCTGTTGCAACATTTAGATCCTGAATGGATAGTCTTAATAGAGAGAGCCTTTAGATGTAAGTTTCATTTTGGGGACATTCAACCAATAAATTCCAAGTAAAAAGAAACACGTATCCTACATTTCAAAACTAGCCATAATTGAAATATACTATATTGAAATTATTCCAAACATATTACTCTTTATACCATGAGCTATATTACATAAATGCTATAACTTACAAATTATTCAGTATCTGAATAATGCCTAAAATAATGGATAGTTTTTTAGTCCTCATAGTTTGCTAGAAAGTCTCAATACGAATTCATGGAATGAACTCGAGATTTAAGATGTAAACTTGAAAATAAGAACTAGTTATCTCGGTAAATACATTGGTCAAATTTTATACTACATGTATAGTGCAAAAGCAAATAGATTTCTAAAACTCTTCTTTTTACTATCCCTGACCTAAGATCAAATTGATAGAGATTTTGAGAAAGGAAAAGTTCTGTCTAGTCAGATTCAAAATGGCTTCTTTTTCTCGACATTTAATTTTAAGGAGAGGCATCTTGATGATATACTTTTGATTAGTGACATTTTTTACCAAACAACATAACTTAATTCAGTTGCTCAACAATATTCGTCAAATTACTGGTCTTATAACAGAAGATAAAAATTTTTATTGATTGCTCTTGGAAGATCAATACCTTAGATACAATGATTGATATTATTAGTACCGTAATATTTTCAGGAGTGGTCAGTATCCAAACACTAACCATATATATTTACTGAGCTGTGAAAGTACATGTGGGTGAAGAACATTGTATTAAACAGTAGAGAGACTGAAAGGCTAAAGAAAGTCAAACACGAAATCATCAATTCTAAAAACCTTATGTTCTTCCCTAAGCTTAGTGTATTTGTATGTCTTCTTAAAGATAAAAGTCTAGATGATTTATTATTTAAATTGAAATTCATTCTTACGCTGTTATGATGTTATCAGTTATCAAATTATTGATAGTGAAATGTTACGATTTCATTGCATGTTGTACATTTTTTCATTAATATCAGATGGTTTAAATATATGCAAACCAAACAATTTCTACTTCAATAATTAGGTGATAAATGGGTAGATCCTGTCATTGGTTTTGAACATTTTTTAAATGTAGTCCGTCTTAGCCAATGGACTAATTTGCCGTAAGCCACATCAGCAAGATGCGAAATGAAGAAGTTCAAATAATCAGTGTCAGTCATAGTAATAATATGAGCATCAGCCTCATAGTTGACCAAAGGACAAAAAAAGACAATAAGTTCTATTCTAAAGCATCTAGTTAATACTGGTCATAGCATCAACACAAAGTTGACTATATGGTTCCATCGAACTTGACCCATGCTTCTAGAATTTGTCTTTTACTTATAGCTGGAGCTATAGAAATATCAGTTAATAAACATAATGTTTGTGTTCAGCCTCTTAGTTTACTAAGGACATCGATTTGACCTAACCCACACTACTGATACTTTTCTTAAGTGTGTATTATTACATAATCTACCCCGGTAAATTGATAATCAGATTTTGTTCGCGCTCGTCTCATTAATTACTCACTGTTATTTTGCAAGCGACACTATACATTCATATTCAGTTGCTTAATTTCAGTTACTCAATTACTTTCCTTCTTCTTACATAACTAGTTTAGATAAGCAGCCGATTACATAATTCTGTTTTAGGTTTAAATATGCACCCGTTGGATCATTATCTCTAGACACTGTTAAACTGACTACATGCCACTTCCTTAGTATTTATTTAACACTTAATTATAAAACCTACATATTACTACAGAACCAAGACGGGGAACTATTTGAGAAGAGATATTTCTTCACTCAACTTGTATTTTTGGCAAAGCATATAATCTAAAAAAAAATGAAGACAAAACAGCCATTGGGATTAGTTCCCAATCATACTACCTAAGGATTTTAGTTGTAAATTACCATTATGTGGGTCTGGATCTACCGAAAAAGCTAAGTCTAACAACCGATTACCTAGTGGACTAACAGTATGTTTTTGTCAGGTGATTTCCGGAAACCGTGTCTAGTAATTCTCTGGTAAAAGCAACAAAATCTATGACGATGCTCTTTTACAAAAATAAGAATGGAATATTTGAAATAATAAATAACCTTCATTCTTTCGAAGTAATATTTAATGTCAGGCTCGATTGCGTACTTATAAAAGTAAATACTCTTCGAATTCCCTTATTTTGTTGTAGTAAAATTAAAGTATTATTGTTAAAGTTACGTATAGTCGAGTTTCTGATATAAACTTACACATTTCCAGGATTTTTCATGAAACTAATTTATTGTCTCAATAATATTATTTAGTAAAACACTAAATAAGGTGTAGAATAGATAACAATACACCACTGAAGACTTTCGGTCGCAAAAATACGGCATGCTAAGTGAAGTAACATATCAGAGTTATCATCAATAAGTTGTGGTTTTTCATTGAAATTCGAACCTGGAACATTAAGGAAGCCCAGATTGTCCATAAAATCCTGATCCCTATAGTTTTGGGTTATTGTTAAGCTTACTTGGGAAGCTATATGAGAGTGAATTCGATAAGATTTTGTCGACTAAGCTAAGAGAATATCCATCAATGAAGACTTATAACGCAATTTCGATTACCACTGGGCTATCCGGGCCACGTGACATTGATCACCACCCAGTGATCAATCGTCAGTTAATGATAGTGCTATACAAGTCTGAAAATGTTTCATTATACCATAAAACTAATGGATTGGGAAGAGTCAGACTTTTAGCAATGCTAATTAATACATTAACTACCTGGATGATGCAGTGATACAATTCATAAAACAGTCCAATAAACAACTACAAACTATCTCCTAAATTGTAGTTCTCAGTATCAGATTGTGCTAAAATTTATATCTGACTCATTCTCCTTCTAATTCATAATCCCCAGAGTTCTTTATCCTTATCACTTTTTCAAACACTATCATTTTCCTAATCACTTACCTTTTAGCTTGTTAATTAGCTAATTCGTTTAAGGGACAAATTAGACACATTTGGATACACTAGCTTTATTGCTGTTCCATGGGATTAGGAAACCACTCGGTCGAGAACTAGTTTTCTGTTTCGTAGATTAATTGTAGATGAGGCAACAGGATGGCAGACTCATCTACCGTTTACTGTTTCGGTCAGTCATACACAATATACACCCCGGCACATGTCTACACTAGTTCAAGTTGCCACACTATATTAGCACTGAGATAAAATTATTAAGACAAACACAATAGTTGAAAGATAAGGCTTAGACAATGTGATTCGAGAAAGCATGTAATTAGAGATAAAAATAAAAGTATTAGATAAGTTTTGAGACCAAGGATCTACGGGGAAACAAAGAGTGGGTGTAACTGTTCACCACAATCGATGCTGAGGTACATCACCCAAAGTCTCCAAACATCGGTTACGACAGCGGCGATGACATCAACCGACTAGTATAAGGCTACTTATATGGCTCCACGTAAAAGTTAACAACTTCATTGAACACTGTCATGTCTTAATTATTTTGGTCGCCTTTATCTTTCTTCCAATCATCAAAAAGGTACAAATACTTATAGACAATTGTCTAAGCAAAATACTTAATGTCCTTTGACCAGATACCATCAGCAACAACCTACTGTGGTAAAGAACAAATAAACTCACAGATAACGGAGAAATTAGGCCAAGACGCTGGGTATGGACAGGGCGTACATCGCGGAAATCATCTGACTGCATCACGAGGCAAGCAACAACTTGAAATCCAGAAGGGAAACGGAAAAGAGGAAGACTAACAAAAACATTACGTCGGGGATTGGAAGCAAATGTCAAGAGAATAAATAGCAACCGGGGATAATTGCCCAGGACAGAGCTCGATGGAGAACCCCGGTGAGTGGCCTATGCTCCTCTACGAGAGGTAACAAGAGAGTAAGCAGCTCCTACATCATGTAGCATCGCGCGTCGTGGTATACGGTAGATGTGCATAGGTAATCCATATTCCGAATGCCTCAGTCGATGAAGATTTACTACCTCATCGAGAGATTTCTCACTTTTACCTAATATCCTGCGTCTAACCTCAGAATCGCTAACCCAATGGTCTCAACATATACGAACAATGCTTCTTAGGGATTCATGACCGAATATTCGTAACCTACGAACATCTATTTTTGAAGGTTACATTTCACAGCTATAAAGTATAACACAGTAAACTGCTTTACGGTACACTTGTCCTGTGGTTGGTAGAAGGACATCTCCCCTGTCACAAGTCCATCGAGCTTTCTGAATGTCCTGTAATCTCATCAGACACCACAACTGTTCGGACATCCACGATAGTTGTATTGGGTGAGGAACTGAAATGACGTATTCCTTGTGATTGGTGGTGAGAGCAATACTGGAGCAACATTTTGCACTTAAATGAAGAGAAACTCATCAAAAATATGACTACATTGTTCCTCAAGACGATCAGAAGACTCTACCTTCATCAAATAGAACTGTCATCTATCTCACTAACACCCGAAAATATACCTATTTCACTAATAATGATGAAACGTTGTCCACTATTACCTGACACTACCAGACTTTCTATTTCTTTTGCCTTCGCTGCCTAGTACTGGTTAGTCTATGTTTGAAGTTACCGTAGCTCGTCATCCTGTTCGGATTTTGACTACGTGAGTTCGCGATCGCTTATCAATTCAGATTTCCCTGAAACCGACTAACATTCCCTAACCTGTTGGTTTAAGTCACCGATAGGTTGTACTGCTATTTTTACACCAATAAATTGTTTGTGATAAACAAGGTTTCAGTAAATATCCGTGTCATATTATCAAGATATTTTATTGCGAAAATTATTTATACGAAGGATCACAAATATTTGATTAAGTTTTGCTAAGAATAATGCTTATCTTTGGTAGAAAAAACCACAGCTTAATATCGATAAGATAAAACCATTCTTTCTCATCTTGGTAACACGTTCTAACCCAGAGTATAAGAACACTGAGCATCAACTAAGTAGTAAAAGTCTCATTTTTACGCTGAAACATGAGGTCGAAAGAAACGGTTTTATACTGGTTTTTATTATAAATGAGCCAAAGCCACAAAACTTTAGCATTAACATAGAACAAACAATGAACAGAAAACAATGGAAATAATACTTGATCACAGTAAAATGGAAAATCTTGGGTTCACTCAAGTATGCAGGAATATGAGCTAATAAATTATTCCATTTATGATATTAGTATTCGAGGTGCTGTATTTAACTGAAGAGAAATAATAGTGGGAGCTGATATTAATATTCAGACATGCCTCTGCCGTGTGATGCGAAGCCTCCACCGACTGGCCTAACCAGACGCATTTGAAGATGATTTTTGAAGTGACAAGGAGGGTTACATGAAAAACGTACAGGTGAACCTGTACCAGGGAAGCCAAGGCCTGAAGAAAATTGCGAAACCGTAGGTATTTGACGTGGATAAACGTTGGAAGGGTGTTCTTCTAGGCTGAATTTGTACTTACGGGAACCTGAAGATAGAGGGTTATACTTTGAACAAGTTGCAATTTCTGTGACATCGCAATTTTTATCTGTTGGATGAACAACTTCATGAATCTTAGATCCCATAAAATTAGAAGAGAACGTCGAATTAATGTAAGCAAATCCAGCAGGTTGACCGTTAGAATTCAACATGCGGACTGTCTTTATCTGAAATCCATTACTTTCATTATTGAGACACTTTTCCTTGAATTCCATTATGCGGCGTAATTGGTGTTCCAAGTGTTTTGTCGCCAAGTTGGTTCGTGATAACTGAGTTCTCAGAGCCTAAAATGAAATTTGTTAAATACAAAGAAAGCAACGAAAATCATTACAAAGAAAACTGATCCACAAGAAAATGTACACTGACCGTGGTTTGAATCGTGTATGGAAATGTGGACTTCATTGATAAAGCTTTTGAACTGAGTTATATTACCTTGACAAAAAACACAAAAGTGTAGATAAATCCATACTTCATCTTGCGCTAAATTCTGAATATCACAATATTTTAGTCTTATTATTAGTATTTTTCGTCTAAAACTTACCACTTAATTTCGAATAATTTTATTTCCCATGATAATTGCCTACCGATTTGTTTAGGATTAGTGCCGTTTGGAAGGGATACGTAAAAATGGATGAGATAATCAACATACTTGTGTTCGACTCTCAGCTATTAAGTCTTGGGTTTGAACCCTGTTTCACTTCAGTTTGGAGCACCGTATAGTATCACTAGCCCTCACATTTACAATGTGGCTCATACACAAGTAACTGGCGAATGAATTAGTTCTTTTTTTTCTTTATGCACTAACTTTTCGTAGCCTCTGCCAGGGACGTCCTACTCACTGACTTCTCGTACCACGGGTGTTGTTTACGAAATTGAGAGGACGAAAAGCGAATGTCCGGCGCTTTAACCGGATCCCAAACTAATGGTGCACATGAGCTCCGGTATTCTGCGGGAACAAATGGCGTATGAACCAATTTTGTTCACCGGCTACCATGGGACTGTTTATCCTTACGATGCTCCACTGTCTTGTGGGTCAGACCTTTAGGTCAAAGGCTCGGGGAGTGGCCCCCTAAGAAAACCACCTGCTTCGGTTTGGGCACCCGGACAGTATCACAGCCCTCCCACATATCGAATAAGATTTGTGTGGCGTATATGTATTTGGTGTCTCCTTGTACCAATATCTATGTGTTAAAAAAACAAACTTTTCGTGGAGCGAGGAAACATTTTAGCCTACCTTTCTTAACTACACCATATAAGATATATTTAAAAAAGTAAACCAGAGTTATTTTTACATAGAATAAGACTTTCCATATTGTATTACACTTAGAAAAACTACCGTCCATCTAACTTAACGACATTTTTGAAAAACAGTTAGATGGGGTACATGGCCTTATCATTTAGTACAGAAATTATTGTCTTATGTTGCTCACTGTTATCAAAGTGCACATTTATCAACAAACAACAAAAACATTCAAATATGCGTAGTCGTGCGTGATTTTCCAATAAATAAAAACAAAATAAAATGATTTGTATGACTCGGATCCATAGCAAATAACCAATAAAAGATGGTTACTTAATAAATAAGTCAGTAAATGTAAAGCCATCAAAGAAAGTGTACAAGATGAATAAAATGCCAGCCCAGTACCCAATGAGTTCAAATGACATATAAAAAACAGGAAGCCTTCAACTCAAGAGCCATAAATCACTAAAAGAATCAATATTATGAGTAGATAACCGTCAAAATTATGTCTCTTTATTACTAGACTTGGATTCAGCCTGATACATACACGATACAAATACCATTAATTTGGATGCTGTAGACCAAGCACGCGTATCTGTTTGATACTTGTGCCTAAATGTCACCTGCGTTATGATACTTACGAAACTATCGGGATGTCAAGACATGGAGCCTATTCTGGAAGTTGGTCTATAAATTGTGCGAAAAGACATAGATTACGAATAGCCTACCTGGATTTCAACGACCTCTTCCTTCACCTGGGTGGCTAAGTTTTCCACTTCGGATTGCTTTTTGCTAGCACATTTGCGTGCGTATTTTCGATTTTGCAAACGACGTCTCCGACTACGAAGTTCTTTGTGTTCCTCAATTGTTAAACGTTTTTTTTCTAGCAGCAATCGAAGATCAGCTGTTGTCATGTCCACTAGTTCATCATCCGTTAAATTTAAACTCATAGTAGTTCTTGAACAATGGAAATAATCAGTAGTCAAGAAATAATGCATTAAGTGTAAACTGTATAGAATTATATATTTTTTAAGGCAGTGAGGACAAGTAAAATTCGATCCTACACCACTTTTCGTTCAGAACTCACTGTATCAATTGGAGAAGTGACTCTTCATGCCGAGACTAAACTGAAGTCAGATTAGTTGATCCATCAGAATCTAGGATGTGGCAGATTCTAAATCTTGAGGTGCTTTCTGTCAGTAAATTCTGTTTAGCCCAATCTCATATTTCGTTATCCTCTCATGAGTGGGAGCACAAATCAAATTAAATGTGAGGTTTAATAGTTATAAGCGATGGTCACTAGTTAAATCACGTCGAATATCTAAGGGGGGTCTAGAGACCTATGTTTATTGAAAAATAATATACAAGTCCTCAAAAACTTAAGATTATTTATTTATTTGAACACATAAATATTGGTACAAGAGAGCGCCAATATATATGCGCCACACAAAACAATGAGAATTCGAAGAGAAAAGAAAAAAGTTAAGGAGCGTAAAAAAAAGAGAACAATAATGAAGAGATTGGTGTAAGGTAGTGTGGTAGTAATGAGGGAACGGAAACGTACAATCGGAGGAAATCTTTCAGTTAAGGGAGACACAACCACTTTTTATGAAGAAAGCAAAAGAATTTTACAGCAGGACCGCCACTGGCTTCTATTCTGAGCCATATCTGATAACGTCTCTAGCTACTGTGTTGCACCATCTCTCGGACCCCAACCAGGGAGTCGTGAAGGACCGACACAAGCCAGTCCTTTGCAGCCTTCTTTCATACCACGACACCATGTCATGCACTAACCACCTCTGAGCTTTTTACAACCAGTCCCAGAGTCGGCAAATAATGCACGACGTGGGATTCTCTGGGACGACATTCGGAGAACATGTCCAAGCCACCGAAGTCGGTGTTTCAACATGGTGACACCAGTTGCATTATCGTCTCTGTGCCCGAACACACGATGCCGAACCTCTGCATTACTAACATGGTGTTGCCACTGAATGTCAGCAATCCTTCGGTGACAACGATGACCGAACACAGAGTCGTCTAACTTCCTCAACACGGAGAGGCCAGGTTTCACAAGCATAGAGCAAAACTGCTGTCACCGACGCGTTATAGATCCGACCTTTTACAGCCAGACTAACATCACTAAGGCGCCAAAGGTGGCCCAGACTGGCATAAGCCGCTCTGGCTTTCACTATACGTGCATTGATCTCACCACTCACGCCACCACCAGCACTTATGCAGCTACCTAGATGCACGAACTACTCGACTACTTCTATCTACTCACCATCCAGGGTGAGTACAGGATTGGAATCCCGCCAGTCTTGTAGAAGTACTTTAGACACAATTGTTCATAATGAAATCACACCTGGTAACTCGAAAACATAGAGATTAAATTACGACAGAATACTTTATGCACTTCAGTTACAATGCAGGAGGGAACTACAAGAATACTCACCAGATAACACGTTAACTTAGGCGAAGACGTGAAAATTAGTTCTCGTATAAACTCACAGAACTTGAAACGGTGGGTCATTATGAGAGGTGGTTAGTTGTTGACCATACAACCACAGAACAACATATTAAGCCCCGATAAACATCATGACTAGCCCAGAATAGACTGATTTAAAATTCCAGCTTTCAAATGAAAAATAATTCTCTAATTAAACCCGTAAATAAATCAGCTTCACAACCTTCATCTCGACAATACGGTTTTCAGTACTCTAACACAGTGCATATATTTATTTCCTTTGTATTTATAACCATAAACGATTTAATTTCTTCCGTGACAACTGTGCTGATAACAATAATATCAAGTAAAGATATCAACTAGTACTGGTTCGGATCTATTTTGCCCGAATAGTGCCCGGAAACATCGTACTGATAACAAAACCTGTATTTTCAAGGTTAAACATTTTTTAAGCTAACTCCCCCATACTATTTCTAACTTCGTTATAAACACTTACGGTATAAACAAACTAACTTTACTACACGAAAATGACGAACGGATAACCTTGTCTTTTCAGAACACCCGCTCACATCTAATGCCTATGTGCCTAGATAATGTAAATCAAAATGGTATTTTCCTGACTCTAGTTTCTTGATCTTAAGATACTGTTCCATATTAGTGAAATCTTGAGAATGTTAGCAGTCTGATCACATGCTTTAGCTAATCTCGGTGGATTTCTGTAATGCTGCTGCTAGACATCTGAAAACTTTAACACGAACTTGCAAAAATAGATTGATATTTTTAAGTTCAGTACGGTCCCGGATATTTGAAACTTTTCACTTAGTACTGTCTAGTGTGGCATTTGTATCAACTAATGATTATTTTGTGCATGACTGCTCGTTTATTTTGAATTCTAAATATAGTATTTTCATTGGTGCTCATCTGATTCTAATTGTTGTGAATTGTACTATTCCGGAAACTCCGAGACAGCAAAATAATTCGAGTAATTCTAGTTGCCATATCTATTCACTCGAATGCACTCATTCTAGTCAATGCGGTTGTGACGGCAAATAAATCCCAAAAATAAATAGCTCTGTAAGTTTTCGACATTGGATACTGACCACATTAGTTTTAATGGACTCACCTAGATTAAGGCGCTCGGCCATGCTTCCGCACTAGATCACGAGTGGGACCACATGATAGACTTAGGTATCATAAGACCGTCAAACAGCCCATGGGCATCTCCGTTGCACATTGTCCCTAAAAAGGACAACAACAATTGGCGTCCAACTAGCGACTATCGGCAATGGAGTGCAAAATCCATTCCCAACCGTTACCCATTGCCTGACATTCACTGTTTGACAGCTACCTCGAAAGGTGCAACTGTCATTTCGATAATCGACTTGGTTAAAACGTATAACCAAATCCCTATGGCTACTGACGATATTCCGAAAACCGCTATCATAGCTCCCTTCTGACACCACGAATCTTTGCGAATGCCTTTTGGTCTAAGAAACGCTGCCCAAACATTCCAAAGGTTCACAGACGACATTTTTCGAGGTATCAACTTCGTACATGCGTATGTTGACGACTATGTAATAGTAAGTCTCGAGCATCTGAATCTTGTTTTCGGCCGACTACAAAAAATGGCATTACTGTGAACATTCAGAAGTGTCAAATCGAAACTGACTCATTAGACTTCTTATGACACACTATAGATGCGCAAGGCATCCAAGCATTTAGAACCAACACATTTCTGGAGCAAACAATGTAGTCGCAGACGCCTTTTCTCGCGTAACTTCCTTGAAGATTTCCCGGGGAATCGACCTTCTTAAACTCGCCCAGCTTCAAAAACAAGACACTGATCTTCAGCACGAGTTATCGTCAACAACCCTTAAACTGCGCATATAACAGATTGAGACAGGTGGGTAAACCTTACTATGTGACACATCTACAGCTAGGGATCGCCCAGTCGTGCCGAAACGTCATTGACGCAACGTCTTCAATACGTTGCACAAACTTTCTCATCCAGGTGTTCGTGCGACCGTCAAACTTATAGAAGAACGGTTTCGCCGGCCTGGCATGAATAAAGACGTGAGGGAGTGGGCACGCTCTTGTGTAAGCTGCCGGAAATCTATTGTGAGTAGACACAACAAATGTCCCTTAGGCTCATATAGAACTCCCGGTGCTCGTTTCGACCATGTTCATCTGGATTTGGTAGGACCTTCACCAGATTCAAATGGATACTCTTATCTATTAACCTGCGTAGACCGTTTCACTCGATGGCCAGAAGCAGTACCTATCAAGGACATCACTGATGAAACAGTGGCTCGCGTCTTCATCGAACGGTGGTTAGCAAACTTCGGCTGCCCTTCAGCCGTCACTACAGGCCATGGACACCAGTTCGAATCTGAACTTTCCCGTTGTCTGATCGCACTATTAGGAGTCACTCGCTCCCGAACGACTGCCTACCACCTACAAGTAAACGGGTTGGTAGAACGTTTTCACCGACAACTAAAAGCTTCACCATCAGTTGCAAACATTTATCAGTGGACCGACGCTCTTTCACTCGTCTTACTAGGTATTCGCATGTAGTGGCATTGGACAATAACCACACAATCTTCAAAGCTGAAAACGAGACTACTCGGAAAATAGATATTCAATATTTAACGCGGAGAAATAACTAACGATGGAGAGGGCGCGAACAATGAATTGAACGAATTGGAGTTGATCGAATGGCATGGCTCGGCCATGCAGGCGTGGTCCATCTGAATGTTACCTTATATCTTCTATTCATATTAAATATATTGTTCTTTCTCTAGTCTAACCTTGTTCTACACCATGTATTGGTAATTGATACGATACAGTTAGTTGGTGTAGTCGATGGTGTGACTTCCACGTAAGATCTTATAGATTAGGCAGTTATATCATGAGCAGTACTAATATCATATTAGACCATAATTCGACACGCATTCCAGTGAAAGCTGACATTGGATACACTGCAGCTCCACTCGTCTATGGAACGACACCTTGACTTCCAGAAGGACTCTTGGATCCTTCATCTTCTTAAATGAACATGGATCTAGCCTTCTACACGGACAGGCTTACAAACGCAATGCGTTCAGTTAAACCTGCTTCCACTCGACCTCAATCAACTGATGTGTTCGTTCAACCTGACTTACGATATAGTAGATACGTCTTCGTACGTCGAGACTCACATCGACAACCTCTCGAATCAGCATACTAAGGACCGTTCAAAGTTGTTAAACGCGAACCCAAGTACTGTACAGTCGATAAGAACGGAACCAACGATAGCATCAATGTCGATCGCCTCAAAGCAGCGTATTTAGTAGGAAATCCTATTCACGTCGATTTTCCTTCAGTACAATCACACGACACGAATTCTACACTTATAATACCTCAACCGGCAGGCAACACGAACAATGATACTTTGGCAATATCAGAAACCAAACTTAAAACAACGCGTTCTGGAAGAAGAGTAAGATTTTCAGAACATTTTAACGACTATTGAACATAAGATACTAGTTGACATTTCATATCATCTCGATTTTTCTTTGCACTATGTGTAATGAAAAAACCTATTTTATTATGCTTATATATTTATATTTTAATTTCGAAAACAAAACAAAACAAAAAAACCATGTTATAAAGGTCCTTTTTTACACTATTACGTGTGCATGAGTTTATTTTCCTTTTTTCGCCCTCTTAGTGTTTTTACGCGCGTACATGTGTATTTCGACATGGACTTACATATTTTTTCTCTTCCAGGAATTGTAGAAAAGACAATAAAAAGAACGATGACGATTACGAGGAACCGAAATTTTCGTTGTACTTTTTCTTTTTTTACTATATTGTACTTCATGGTCCCTTATAGTAAGGAAAGACGACTAAGCATTACAAATGGAAACAACTTTTGATAAAGAAAAGTGTGGGTGTACCTAGATTCTTGTTCTTCGTTGTGCAACGTTTCGGTGGCCTCATCGAGGTGCATGATTGTGTCATGTACGATGCCTGTGTTTGGGTGACTTGGAATAGAGTATCGTTTGGAACTACCAGACCATTTCCTATTCTCTATTAGATTAGAGAAAAAATCTTTGGTGTTGGAGTATGAATTAACAAGATTTATGTTCCGGCACTACCACCGACTTAATCGACTACCTCTGAATTTGGTGTGGGAGACTTTTATCTCAGTGGTGGAGAGTGGCCGCCCCAATATTGTGAACTTCATACTAACGTTTAAGGGCATCGTCCATTCGGTGCTCAATCGAGTCCTTTTTGCTTTCTATGGAACCACAGATTTTCGCGTCATTTGTATAGATCGGCGCTGATAAGCTGGTTTATTCGAACAGGCCGTTTACAGGACCAAGAACATGAGTGAACTTAAAACTGTTATTCGTGAAACTACTGATGTTGAGACCCCTACCTCGCGTACATTCTATTTACTATAGTATAAAAAACATCCTGTTCTCATAGGTAGTACCTGAAGTGGATTAATCTATCACCGTTTCCAGGAATCATGTCTATGCTGATGTCGTATAGAACGAACACGGTGACATAAAAGGAATGTAACTGTGAGAATCGATATGCGAAATTGAGAGCGACTGTTGATACATGGTTCGATTCATGGCATGTAACTGATCGATACGCTCTGTCTGTCTTTGGCCATGACGAGGATCAGTACACTGTTCGGAGATCGAAGAATAGACCGTCGAATGACTTGACCAAAACGCAGTGACATTTCATCGGTTTCGTGATTTTACCAGTTACTTACTATTTGTTTATCAGAATTATTATTAATATTAGGTTTTATCTATATATGAAACTTTTATATTCATGTTTTCTTGTGCTTCTGATTAAACATTTTGTTGTCTTCTATGGCACACTTATTCAATAACTCAATCTCGTTTATGTAGTTTTACCTTTGGTACAGGTATTTTTAATGTTTTGTCAGCTACTTTGTTGTGTTGAAATAAAGTACTTAGAATTTTGCTTTATTTGCCTTTCCAATCCTAAATATAAATTAGATTACTTTTTTCACAATATTGCTGTCGTATTCTCTCTAACATTTTGTCATCGGTTTTTACCATGCTTACACAAAGGAACCGCTACATTGTTTGTGGGTCCCCCCATGCTTCGAATGCAAACTTTTGAATCCATTGATACACTCATTAAGTCTTTTATGTTACATAATAATATCCTAACTACTCACGTATTTCCAATTTATGCACAACTCGGTTGCTAGTTTCTTCCTATCTGTGAAACTAGGTATTATAAATGAAATCTAACCATCAAGGTGAAAAAATCACACAAGAGATTTACTAAGAGATGACGTCGATAACGAAACTCTTATCAGTCGCAGTTTTGTTGGTTACTACGGTACACAAAACAAAATCTGGCCTTTGAAAAAAGCTTGTCAATTATGTAGGGTTTAACAGAGCTTGATTATTCTGCGCGTGAACTTACGGAGTGGTCTTTAAGGCTTAGTGTTGGTCCCAGATAAACATCTGATGTATCAAGACGATTAAAGTAAAAGATAGACCTTGTGAATAGCTTTTGGCTCAAAGAATGTGTAAATAATCCTAGTTGT